GGTTACGTTATGAATATTTCTGTCTTTGTAAAAGAACTAGGCAATTCCTAATGAAACTAGCAATGAGCAGGTTCAAAGGGAATTCAGAAAAGGATGTATTTTTTCTTTCAGTGGACATTTAAACTGTGACTCCTTGGCCCAGGAGGTTGTGAATTTTAAAAATTTCCATGGGTTCAGAAACAAAATCAAATTGCATTTAATTTAAAAGATTTATGGAAGAAAAAGAATCTAACTAAGGTAGTTTTTATTATTACATACAACTTGTAAGATTTAAATAGAAGATTATCCCTGATTCTGGAAGTCTCTGCTCATTGGAGCCTGGGGCAGTAGTAGTAACCCAAGGCTAATGATGGGTTTTCCTAGCTTTTACTGTGACTGAATTCAAGCTGCCTCTCTGGAACCGAGTTAGTAGATTGTTGCAGGGACCAGCTTTTGGGCTCTGTTTTCTTCAGTCAGGCAAAAGCTTAGTGCTCAACTGGGACAAGACGGTTGATGCAATGATAATTGATTGTAATGAGACCAAACTGCACAAACCCCAGGTGAGCACCTAGGCTGCGCTTCTTCAGGAGCTTGTCAGTGGGAGAATAAATGTCACCCAATAGCTATTTACAGACTTAACTCCACAGAGGTTGGAAACTGCCTGCTGATACCAAATTGGAGTGAAAATGTGGAAATGGAAAGCACACCAGCCTGCGATGGTACCCAGTGATATCTCAGCATGGCTTAATCAAGCTGCGCCTTTGCCTTGCTGTTATCCACCTGTGGGTAGTGAGAGGCATGCAGAGATCCCGAGACACCGAGATTCAAAGAGCAAAAGTCTTGTGTGTGAATGTTCTTCAGAAGAGACCAGGAGCGACCCCAGTCATTAGGGAGAATTTGGTGCAAATGAGAGAAGTGCTGAAAGGGTTTTTTTCTGAATTGGGAGTTCATCTGGGTTAAGAGAGTGCCTGGCACCAGCCTACTGCCATTCATTTCTTTCCTCAGCCAAACCTAGTCACATCTCAGAGCTGTGCCAGAGCTCTGGAAGTCATGTTTATTCATGAAGTAAAATATTCTCTGCTGCTTCCTAGATAAGGTTTGACCATATATTTGCTTTAAGTATAGATATGACTCAAATAAATGGTTTTTTTGCACTTTAGGCTGCCAGTTCTGCAAACCAGTGTATACCTGTGCCTCATGACAATTGACCTGTTTTCTGTTTATTAACCTTTTAAAGGGAGAGCAAATGAGGGCCTGAGCTTTGATTCACATTTAGCAGAGACAGTGGAAAAGGTTACCACCTTCTGCAGCTCTGGTGGGGTTTCCTAGCCCACTGCAGCCAGGATTGTGTCAGCGGTCTTCGGCCACTTCTTCCGAGTCAGAACCTCTTAGAGGAGGGCTCTCGAAAGCCCAGCTGAGGCTGATGTAGCCCTTGGCTTGCACTTGGGGCATTTGGCTTGCAAAGAGGGAGGCTCAGCTGCTGGATGTAAAGATCTGAGCTTCAGTGCGTAGCTGACAGCCTCCAGCCCATTCCTTGAGCAAGACTTCAGGAGCTCGCTTCAAGAGGGAGAGAGGTGGCTGCTAGTAATTACACTAATTGCACGGCTTACAGTGCAATGATGAGCAGTTTGGTCTGCTTATCTGAATGAAAGTTAAAAGGCAGCTTCGTTAGAGTCATGAAGGTTTTCTCCCTGCAGCCCTCCAGAAGAAGATATTTGGCTCCAGAGAGCATTTCATGATCTACCAGGCAACAGCAGGACAAAGCTGAGTGTCTGGAAGTTACAGTTAAAATAATTGAAATGGAAAAGGCTCTCATATATATATATATATGTCTATATATATTTATAATGACAAGAGTTTAAAGAGTGTACCGGATTACCCAGGGATGTGGTAAATGATACTGTCTTGAAAAAGTCATGCTTATTTTTACACTGCTTCTTCAAACTCACTTGTGATCCTTTCCAAAGCAAAGCACAGTCCTTGGCAGTGCATATTCCTTGGCTTTCGGTAATAAACAAATGAGCAGAGCAGTTCCTTTGATTGAAATGGAGTTGAAGGGTAGGTGTATTCATGGCTCATTTGCACCTACTGCTTTGGGTAAGGATCGATAAATACCTTTGCATCCTTCCTGCAGATTGTGAGTGCAAGGGAGGAGACAACATGTATAATTAATTAATGGAGAAGCACTTAGCAATCACCAAACATGATTTGATCAGGCAAAACAAATTGTCATCTTTATTACATCCATGAAGGCCAAGTGATGCCACAGGGAAGAGAAGGATTTCCTTTTTCCAAGGCACATTGCAGCTGTTTCTGCCCTCACATAGTTTTCTTAGGTATTGATCTGTCATGCTGACATGACTGAATATTGCCTGCCAACCCCCTGATCCCAGCAGTTTGCCAGGGTAAGATCTATCAGTTTTGGAGAAAGAAAACCATTTTCTGGAAGGCTATTTGATAAAGGTTGTCCATGTCATGGTTTGGATGGACAGGGACAAACTTTTGCCTGATGTTGTAATGGGATGACTACAAGGCGAGCGGCAAGTGTTGGACTGCAAATGCAAAGCATCTTACAAGTATCAATCTTTGTAGTGTTCCAATTCATTCAACTCAAGTTACTCGTGCAGGCCCTCTTCTAGTCATTGGAGAGAAGAGGACACCTCCAGAGAATGATTCGTTTTCTGAACTTCAGATAACCATCCTACGGTGACATGAACTGCCAGCCAGAGCTCTGGTTTCCATTGACTTGTTTAGGTTTACGTGTCTGACTTTTAGATGCATAAATTTAGGGATATGAATCCCATCTTTACAACCTGGACCATTCCAGGCAGCTGTGCAAATATTGTCAGCACATATTGGGGGGCGATAAGGAAGAATGGTGTCGGAAGAGATAATATGCAATATGAGAGGTCTTTACAGAGGCAATAATTATTAAAGATCCACTTTGTGCGTCTTGCAAGGCCAGTCTTGTGTGTCTTCATTTTATTTTAATCAAAGAGAGCTTTCCTTACAAAAGTGAACACCTAAAAGCTTTTTTCATGCATCACAGGTGGTGGTGAAAAACGCTAACACAGAAAAAGATACAGATCACAAAAATTCTCCAAGTGTGTAATTCAGGCCATTTAAAAAGCCATCTGATACTATCACCTTGTATTTTATTTTGCATTATAACCTGTCCTGAGGTAATGGGTGCACTGTAATTTATTGAGGTTGATGGAGGAAAAGATTGTAGAACATGAAAGATCCTGTTATGAAATCATCAATTTTCCATGGGCAGCATATCTAATATCTTAATACTTTTGGAACTGCTGGCTGTTTGGTGGCAGGTAAGTATGACGCTGTGGAAACTGAGCTTTGCAGCTGATATTAGAAACCTGAAAACTGAATTTTAATGAATGCTACAGAAGAGCATGCTCAAAGGAGATACCGTCAGTTATTCCATTTTTCAGGCTCCGATAAACTCACCTCAGGACTTCATTTGAAAAGTTCTGTTTGCTCATGAAAGAAGGAAGGAGAAAACCTGTAAAATAACTTTGAAAGAGAGCTGGGGGTTCTTTTTCATCTTCAAAGCATTTTTGTGTGCTTTCTTTATTGGTCTGAGACAGCACGCTGCCTCAGTCTGAACAGGCTGATGATGACACCAGCCTTTTTCTTAGCTCAAGATTTAAAGGAGGAATTTCAGATCGGGATATAATTACCAAGAAATGCAGCTTGACAGTGGTTTTCATAGTTCCCTTCACTTGCATGTGAAAAGTATTTTCTCAAAGCTTTCTCCTTCATGTTCTAGTTTCTCTTGTTATGCTGTTGACCTTAACAGCAACACGTTAGTCACATTTGGGGAAGTGTTGCAATCTAATGGGGCATGACAAACAACTGAGAGCAGAGGTGCTATAAAAAAATGAGTTCTGTTGACAATCCATCTGTCTAACCCAGGCAGCAATTGAAGAGCCTGTCTGTTCGAAATTTAAAGGGGGAAAAAATGTTTTCAAAATTCTAGTAAGAACTCTAAAATGTGTAACATGTTGAGGCAAAAACACATCTGATTTTTTTTTTAATTCAGGTCTGCCAACTCCTTTTGGCTTCAGTGCTAATGTTACATTATTCAACAGTGCAACGTGTATGTGATATCATTAATGTCTGAGAAAGCAGAAATAAAAGGGCAAAATCAGAACAATGTATTATAACTCTGCAGGAAGGACATGCGATTTTTTTCTCAGTTTTTCTTCTATCCAGAAAATCTCCAGAAATGTTTAATTTTAACAAAATCCTGTATTTGGTTATGCTTCCATTGGTTATACCTTCATTCCTAGCTTGGATAGCTAGGAGTGTACTGCCTTGCACCACCCTTCCATAGAGAGCATCTCCTGGCGACAGCAAGCGCTGTCCCTCCTCAGCCTCCAGGAGTGTTTTGTGCCTTTTCCCTTTCTAAGGAGAAAAAAATGCTTCTTGAGAAGGGATTTGGCTCCTGATCTCTTGATTGTCATCAGTGTTCCTGCT